AATAATTTATATAACGACTTTAAATCATTTCCAGATATTTTTGATTTCAGCAACTACCCTAACACACATGAATTATTTGATGTAACAAATAAAAATAAGCTTGGATATTTTAAAGACGAGACAGCGTCTAAACCTATAATAGAATTTTGTTCATTAAAACCGAAAATGTATTCGTATATTTTCGATAATCAAAATAAAAAAACAGCTAAAGGAATTAAAAAATCTGTTGTTAAAACCTTTAACCACGAAAAATATAAAGAAGTTTTATTTAATACTGAGCTATTAAGACATCAGCAGTATGGTATTAAAAGTAAAAACCATATTGTAACAACATATCTTCAGAATAAAATATCACTCTCCCCGTTTTACGACAAAAAATTTATTTCTGATAATGGTATAGATGTGATATCGTTCGGACATTATACTTTTTATATTTAAATTCTTCCAGATTCTCTGATATCATCTCCCCCCCAATACGGTTACATATTATTGTACAAGAGGAAACGAAATTCAAAAACTTGTTTAATACATGGTGTTTCGAGTAAAACATATCGTTGTTTAAAACAAGCTGTAAATAAAGCTGGATTATTTAAATTACCAAATAATAAGAAATACTTTTGTAAATTTTTTGTATTGACTAACCAAATAACTATGATGTTATGTAATAATAATTTTATAAAATGTAGTTGTTCTAACTGTAATCGTACTTTTTAAAAATGTTGTAACCATGTTTATATATAATAAAACTATATCCTAATACAGAGTTTTTTTTATAGAATTCAAACACATTACACCACTCGAATGGGAAAAGTTTTCGAGTTTACCGATGGACGAAAATAATATCAAACGTTTTAAAAACTATATTAAATGGGGAATTATAAGCCAAAAAACTGATTTAAGCAGAGACTTCATTTCTGAATTTGCTGATAATTTAAACTGGGAGCTAATATGGAAAAATTATATATTTACCACTACGTTTATTGAAAAACATATTAAATACTCTAAATGGAATATAATTTCTGAACACCAATTATTAGACAAAGAATTCATGGATAAGTTTTCGGACTATCTTAATTGGGATAAAATAGCAAAATTTCAACTCCTCTTTGATAATTTTATTAAGAAATATATTGATAAATTAAGTATGAGAGTTATAGTTTTAAAATATCAGCGATTAAATACCGATACTCTACGGGAATTACAAGATTTTCTCCACTGGGATTTGGCTTCTCGTTATCAAATACTGAACGATGATTTTATTCACAATTCTAAATACCATCTTTTATGGTGTTATATTATTAAATATCAGAAACTAGATCATAAATATATTGCTGAAAACTCTCACAGTTTGTTAGTCTACATACTTCAGGATATTTGTAACATTGTTGATGATATAATGGAAAAAATAAATAAATTCGATGAAGAAGAAGAAGAAGATTAAAATCTGTAACATATCGATTTTTAAAAGAAATAAAAAAGTTAAGAGTCAATTGTTTTTTTTTTTTTAAAAAAAATCTAGTAATTAATTACATTATCCACAAAAATCAGAAAATATCTAACGATAGAGAAAATCTTAAGTTCTGAACAGAATATTGAATAGATAATGGAATGTGGTTCACTTCGAGGGGCCAGTTTTAGGTAGAGAATGCAGTCTAACAACTTACTTTGCAACCGTTTTAGGGAGAAAAAAAAAAAATATAACAGTTTTCTCTATACTAGCGATATTAGTAAGATCATTGATGATATAATGAAATCTTATAAGAACCAATCATATTTTCTTTTAAAAAAACTAGCAACAAGTTGTATAATAACTAGAAAGATCAGTAAAAAAAAAAAAATTTTTACCATAATTCGCTTGCCAATATCAATCACTAACACAAAATCATATTTTCTTTAAGAACAAATCATTTTTTAAAACTTAAAACGTATATAAACTCTAGAAAATAAAAATATACTCCCATTCTGTCTCTGTTAGAAGCAAAAATGACAAAGGCGCGAAGTTCAAACAAAAGAATGTAGCGTGGGGTCCCCAGACTTATTTCAGGGTACAAATTTGTATTACAAGAGGGAAGTTTCGAATTTTTTTAGAAAAAACCTTGTTATCGATTTATATTATTAAATTCTTATACAAATTAAATATAATCTACACCGTATAAGTCTTTATTTCGATATAATTCGAAAAAAAAATAAAATAAAAATTGTAATACAACAGAGCTCTCGAGTTTCGAATTTTTTTTTTAAAAACTTGTTATCGTTTTTATATTATTAAATTCTTATAGAAATTACATATAATCTACACCGTATAAGTCTTTATTTCGATATTATTCAAAAAAAATTTTTATTAATTTCAAAAAAATTTTTTATAATTTTTTTTTTGAAAAATTGTGTTATATATATATATTTTTAAATACTAATTAATTTTTATACTTCAGAATGTATCAAACGCATACTACTCACGTAATTATGCACTTTTATATTTAGTTATTTCATCATTTTCACTTGTTATTAGTTAGTTCGTTTTATGTAAACAATAAACGTAACAGAAGATTTTATAAGGAATTAAGCACACGAGTTACATAATACAAATACTTGTCCAGCAGTTTATCTTTCTTCGAACGTGACATGAATAAGATTTGCCGTTTTCTTTGATAAGTACACCGAATGTATATTTTCTTTTCAAAAATTAAAATCGAATCAAAACAAAATTAAGAACAGATATAATTATTTATAGAAGAGGTACAATTACAAAATTTCGAAAATTTATTTTATTATAAAGAACAAAATGTAACCGTTTATTTACTTCGTTTTATTAATTTTTTTAAACAATTTTATAATTATAAAGCGTATAATTTTAATTTAAATTTTAAAACAAAATATTTACCTTCCCTGATCCAACAGGACCTATAACAATTAATAATTCTCTCGGCTGCATGTTTACTGATATCCCATTTAATGTTGGTTCGAATTCCTTTTTTTTTAAAAAAAGAAAAGTATTACAATATACCCAGCAAACGTTAAAACTTATAAAACAGAAATAATAATAAACAATAAATTAATTTATGATAATGTCTCAGGCAAGCCAGAATATCACAGTGAACACACTTTCTGTCTACACACGTGCACTGAGCTTCAAGACAAAAAAAATTCGTTTAAGCCTCTACGAAGGCAGAAAGCTAGAAAGCTAAATAAATAAAAACCTCTAATAAAACCAAGGACAATGCTCATTGGATACATTCACAATGTCATAAAAGTCTTATAGAGAGCGGGAAGAAGAAAAGACTTCCAAGTGGCAATGTTTCATTTCCATCCTTTACAATGAAAGGCCAGGAATTTCTTCACCAGAGTTGGCTTATATCAGAAAAGAAACTTCCAGAAAACTGTGGAAAGGCATTGAATGTTGAAACAGTAACTCAAGAAGAGTCAGATGTTGAGCAGGCATCAAGTTCTAACAGACACAACTGATTACAAATATAATAATTATTCTTTGAGACCGCTTCTTGATCGTTTGAAATAGATTTTAATAGTACCCTGTAGGATGCAGATTTTTTTTCACTAAAATTCGCTATTTATAAGCCACCCACTTTTTAAAACAATGTGAATTTTTAATATGCTTAATGCAACGGTATCTAAATTTTACTAATAAACAAACTGATTAATGCTACCTAAAAAATAATTATTTTATCTTTACCTGCAGTGACAAAACAAAGGTGTAGTTCATTAAATTTATTCTCGTTTTATTGAATTTAAATGCGTGGTATCCTATGACATGGTTTCACGCAAACGCAATACATTTTACGACAAGAGACTCAAGTAACATGTCGTCAACAATTCTAGGATGACACGCGGATTGACACTCAATCCGGAAAACGTCATATGGTTATGTACTTATCCACTAGAAAGTCAAAATAACTCTTGTTTTGGTTCAAACCTTAAAAAGTGTTGCTAATAATTCCATCACTTTAACAGACATAAATTTTAAAAAGCCAGTGACGATCACAACATTCTACGTGAAAATCCTCGTAATTGATGTTATGCTTATGTCCACTTTGCACATTCTTGTGTACCGAGGGAGTCTTGATTAATTATTTTACCGAAATTTTCCGAAGTAGACACAAGCACAATATAAATAATTAAAGACAAAAATAATATATTATTTTTCTAGTTGATGATTCTTGTTGTTATTAATATTAATTAATTGATTTTAAAATTATTGAGTTAAACAAATCGTAAAAAACATTATTTTTATTGCAAAACTTATATTAAATTGGAAGCCATATCTTACGTTTTTCCATGCAGCTGTGACACTATCCATTCGTATCTTGTATTCGGTTGAATTTTCATTTTCTTCAGTAGATTTGACTGCATTGTTTTCTCTTTCTTGGAGCAGGAGAAAATCCTAAGTTAAAATTTTGAAAATGTTAGAGTTTTAAATGAAAGTTTGTGCACAAGGTGCACAAACTTTCATTTAAACTAAGCGATTAAGTCGGTTTTCAACTTCTTCAAAATTAATTACGGGTAATGAAAAAACTCCAGAAATATTTTACACAGCCTATTTTTCGATAAACGCTTAAGAGTTTAAGTTGCTTTTCCATTTATTTCAAGATAGAACCTTTTTTCCTTACGTTGGTAAAACTTGTGCTGAATAATTATATACTACTAGTTCTCGGATATTGTTCAAATGAGTTATTAAAACAGCGAACAATCCAAATAACCAAAAACACAAATTTAACACTCTTGGAACTGTTGAAAAGTATTGATAATATTGATAATGTCAGCCTATCTGTGTTGAAGATATAAGGACAATAAGGAGTGGAAGTTTCGCCCTCTAGAAATTTCCAGAACAGTTTGGAACATTCGAGAGTATTCGAGAGCATTCCGCAACATTCCAGAATGTTCCGGGATGTTCTGAAACGTTCGGGAACATTCCGGAATATTCCAGAACACTCTTGAATGTTATGGAATGTTCTGGAACATTGTGGACCATTCGAAGCATTCTTTGTATGGGTGGGACTTACCCATTGGTGGGGGTATATATAGCAAGATCCGTCATGGGTTCGAACGTCAGATTCTTATTAGTGACACAGAAAAAAACCGAAAAAGAAGTAAAAATTCCAAAATAGTGCAGTGAGTGAATAAAAACGAACAGTGAAGTGTGAATAGTCAAAGTGATACAGTGACCGAATATAAATCGAAAATAAAGTGTGAAAACTGTGTAAAGTGTACTTAGTGTTTTTTATTTATATTTTATACAATGCCCAAACTTAAAACAGGAGGAGATTGTGCAAGTTCTGAATTTTAATTTGAATATTATCAGGAATTTTCTTTTGAATATTAAAGTTGATATTGTTGCCAAAATTGTCCTTTGAAATAGCAACTCCTAATAATAGTAAGAAGTGCAGAGCCCAAACAGTTAGCAGTTGAAGACTGAAATTTGGTACACAGTTAGGATGCGTCATGAGAACGTACACTAAGAAGGGATTTTTTGAAATTCCCATGCGTGAGAGAGAGACATTGTTAACACTTCCCCCGCAGGGAAGTGTTAACAATGGAAGTGGTTAAGTAACAATTGAAGTATTAAGAGAAAGCGAAGTACAAGATTTACATACGGTTTTTTTTGCGTTTTTTGCAAGAAATGATACATATTTTTAGGCCCATCTAAAATTATTCTAATTAGTCTCGAAACAGGGCAACATAACTCTTGCATTCTGAGAAAACGAGTAAGATTGGCTATATTGTAATAATCTTAATATTCGCTATCGTTACTTTTTGCCCGAGCAACGCCAGGCTAGTTTATTTATAAAATAATCTATTGAAAAAACCCATCATATATAACCTTCATTACAGTCGCTATGGGATTGGCCAAACACGGGTGGGCATAAAACGCGCATTTAAAAGCAGAGTTTAAAAAAATACAAAAACATAAAACAAATATTCTGTTTTCATTTGAAGACTTCTAATCCCCTTACAGCGATAGAGATCAACGTATTCTGATCGAAACTCTTAAGATAATTTTAGTCAACTTGCTTTCGATTACTGGGTGCTACTCCGTTACTATAAGAATTTCTGTACACAAAGCAAGCTGACATCGCTGTGTTACGTTATCCTTATTATATACAACGAATTTCATTTTTCGCTTATTTACAAGAATTGTTTCCAGGAACTTCATCAAATCTTGAATTTTCTCCATTCTAAAATGTATTAATTTATATTATTGGTTTTTTCTGAAATTAATTTCAGCAAACAATAACACTAAAAAATAGTATCTTATATCCAACATCACGTTACACTCGTTAATATAAAATGATTCAAACTCGTTCACAGAATACAGATTTGCATGATACATGATAAAGTTGGTATATAAAAACGATTTCATATACCAGTGGAATCCTTTTACAGTTTTGCGTTGAAAAGATTTCGTGTTCGTTGTAAAATTTAACACAGAATATCGTCTATTCAGTAATTTTTCTCGTCTACGCAGCTTTTTAATGTATTGAGATTTCGTTACGGACAAGTTTTAATACTTGATATATTTATATACAACAATATTAATAACTATATGCTAATATCTTCATATTATTTCTGAATTAGTATTGCTGTAGTAAAATATAAAAAAAAGATTATTTTGAAATTGTTCATTACCTGTATCCTTTTTAACGAAACCAAAATTTCTGCAACATAACCCACTGCTTGAGAAAACAGACCAACAACATCTCTATACATATACATTGAAAAGGTCATTGTGACGAATATAATTTCGGCATTTAATTGTCCTCCATTTAAAAAGAATGCGAGGTATGTGAGAAGAATGAATAATTTTGATATAGGATACGCCAATATATACGATATTCCGCTTGCATATAAAAACATTCGAATTTTTTTCATTTCTTTCCTGCAAATAGAAACAATTAAATAATACTAATTGCAGAGCTCCGAAAATAATTATCTAAAACACATTAGCGTATCGAAATGACAATAAAACCAGTGTAAAAAGGAATCCGATGGTATCAAATATTTTCTAAAGTTTGTAGTTTATGCTTTGAATAAGGTTTACTTTTTAAAACGAAAATACGTTTTTGAAAATTTTTTTCTGTTTATGCAGTTATTCGTTTTATTTTGATTTCCGTTTTACACAGGTTTTACTGTATTTCACTGCACTTACATTCTGATTTTTTCTAATAATGCGACATATGGCAATTCCCAGGTGTACATCTTGATTAACCTCATATCAGCAATCATCTCGTTCAACAGATTCAATCTTTCGTCTCCCAATACAGCTGCTTGTAATCTATTATGAAAAAATATATATATAAATATATACTCCTATGAAATGATATAAAATTAAATACTGGACGTATATTTTATATCTAAAGACAATACAGTAGAGCCTCGAAAACTCGGCACTCGATAACCCAGCACTCCGGATAACTCGGCCACACCCTGGCAGGGCAAAAAATCCTTAGTTAATTAATTTTCATGATAAAGACAGCTTTATGCCTCATAAAGTATTTTTCTGAGGTCNCAATCATCTCGTTCAACAGATTCAATCTTTCGTCTCCCAATACAGCTGCTTGTAATCTATTATGAAAATATATATATATAAATATATACTCCTATGAAATGATATAAAATTAAATACTGGACGTATATTTTATATCTAAAGACAATGTTACATTTAAGTGAATCCCTTTATTTTTTAGCACTGAATATTATAAATGTTTATGCTATTTCAAAAACTTTTTATACTAAACTCCCCTGAAAAAAATCAAACACGATATGCAAATTCTTAGATAAAGAGCGAATATGTAAGCTTCATGAGATGAGTTTTTTCTATAATTTCAGTGTGATAAGCAAATATACAAATTAAATTATACTTACAAATAGGTGTTTCATAGTGTTTTCATAATTTATTTATGAACATGACAGTAAAATTCCAAAATAGCCAGCTTGTTCACTGTGTCTCAAAGAAGTCATTTTGATGATGGTCTAAGTTGGCTGGCAAGTCTTGCGTAGGCTAAATTCGGTGAAGCCATTAAAAAAGCTATTCAATTTTTCAGTCAGTCATTCTGTAATTTCAACCGTGTACCGAATTCCAAATTACTAGAATTGTAAACAGAAGACCGGCTTCAGCCGCTCTCAAGTTCAAACATATTCCAATGATTGGTACTTAGTATTATCAGTTAGTTGCAATAGGGAGGCAACACACCTGTATTACGTGCAAGCCTAGTTGCATTTACAGGGAGGCCTAAAACTGTCACTACTGTAAGGAGAGATTGCAAGCACATGATTTTTATGCGCGAAGGCCAAATATTTCTGTTTCATTGTTTTTCAGGCAGAGAGAAGCCGTTTACACTTGCTTCAGGAACCAGTCACTTCGAGTATAGACGATTAGAAAATGTTCTGTTGAACAAATCAAGTCATCATTTGCTTTACAGCCATCAACAAACTTATGTAAGAAATCCGACTACTTCATGGAAACAATCGATGAACATTGTTCAGTGTCATTGTTTCTCTGGTGGTGGCGTCCTTATGTGAAATGCGATTTTCTTAGGTGAATGTATTGATCTCTATGTTTTCCGCAGTGACACCGCGATCATCCAAAGTTATCAGAATGATATATATATACCCCTTTGTTGAATTTCATGTGGATGCAATTGATTCTGAATTCTTTCTTATAAACAACAACGTTTGGTCATACAGAACTCGTACACTAACTTACGCGATTACCTAATAACGAAGAGAATATACCCAATGAAGTAACCAGCGACTTTTGCAGTTACAGTAGAGCGTCTATTATCCGAATCGATTGAGGACTGGGGTTGTTCGGAAGATCAATGTTTCGGATAACCGATTATGCAAGAAAAAATATATCAATTTATCTCATCTTGACATTTTTCTCCGTTGCGTGTCGCTTCGCGATGAATTTTCGTCGATGTTAAGCCTAACGAAGACTATTGTATCGTTAAAAATTATTTTTTTATTTTGTACGAAGAAAATAAATATATTGAAAAATATAAAAACAATAAAAAATTATACTTTAGAAGTTAATTTAGTATCAAAAACGTGAAATATTTGAGTAGCCCAAGACATAGCCAAAGATTGCAGCGCCAGAGCACTGGCGAAAAACTTAAACTTGCGGACTGGAATTCTTTCAGATGATTGACTTTCGGAAAATAGACGCTCTACTGTATTTCGAATTTTTCGAATTCTTTTATTTTCGATTCATTGTGTTTGAGTTACACGAAAAGTGGATATGATTAAAACACTTATTAATTTCGAAAATGTATACTATTTCTGCCACTATTTACTTTTTGTTTTCTATTACTTACAGTTTATGCTAACAAAATCTAACTTTATAATTCTTTCACCTGGGACAGGGGTCGGCAACCTGCGGCTCGCGAGCCACATGCGGCTCTTTGGATGTGAAGATGCGGCTCTTTAGTTCCATAAGCAAATATTATTTATTTTATCAAAAACAAAAACATTTAAAAATCGTTCTGAATTTATTAACGAGGATTAGGCACCGATTCTATCTCTCAGCCACTTGTACTCGCTTTTCACCGCACCTCTCCCCGTGACACGCGTTGTCACTGTCGCCAGTCTGTCCGAAGCTTTCGAATGACGCCGTCGTCGGATGTTTCTATGAAGTTTAATTCGCTTTCGACGCAAGACAATTTGGCGTCTTCACCAGTGCTTTGGCTATGACGTATAGTTTGTTGTTTCGAGTAAAAGAGTTAGAAGCGAATTATCTTCTCAAAGTTATGTAAAAATTTTGTGGCTCTTTAAAAACTTTGAAATTTTGTAAATTGTAATTTTTGGCTCTTCCGACTCAAAAGGTTTCTGACCCCTGACCTGGGAGAATTAAATTTCGAAAAATCTCTTATTAATGTGCATTTCTTGGCATACCCTACTAAAACGCAGTCAAAAACACAAAAAACAGCATCTAAAATAGTATGTTAAAAGCCGAGTTCTTCCAGATAATCCTTAACTCTATACCTCTCCCCTGTGCAAGGATTTCCAAAAAACTTTTATTAGGATGCCTTCTCATAGCGTACCCTACTAAATGCTGTTAAAATAAAAAATTGCGCATAAAATAGTACAGTACTGAGTTTTTAAGGATAATCCTTAATTTTCTCTCTTTCCCTGCGAGAAAATTTTAAAAATCTCTTCTTATTGTACATTCCCGCGACATATACTAACTTTGTACCAAATTTCAACTTTCAACTCTTAATCGTTTGGAATCTGCGCTTATTATTATTATGTTGAATTTAGTGTGTTATACTCGGTTGACGTAGCTGTGTACTATGCCAGACCACAGTCAAGGCATAGCAACAAAAGCAAAACTAAAATTAAATAAGTGTGTCAGTATCATTGTCTGTAATCAAGAATTTCCTAACAATATGGCATGTATCCAATATAATGGCCTTCTGTAGTGTGATGTATTTCTATTAAATTGTAATGTTAACAGGCTTTTGCATAGTGTGTGTGGTATCACATCCATAGAAGAGAGAACAATAGGTACAATAAGCACTCTGTCTATATCCATTCTTTACAGATGCCTGTTTCCTGGGCAACTTCTGTGTACTTGCTAATTATTTCAGTGAATGTAACTTATTTTGTTTATTGTGAGTGATTGGAATGAATGTGTTTATAATGCATGTGGTTTTATTGCAACTGTGATGTTTCTTGTCTTTTGTAGAAAAACTGTCAGTGATTGTATTTGTATGTAGTATACAAGGTCTGTTCAAAAAGTATCGGACCTTTGGTCGGCAAAAATAAATTTATTGACTTTGAGGTACAAAACCCTAATCCCCTTCAAAGTAGTCTCCTTGGTAATGTATACACTTCTCCCAGCGTTCCTGCCATTGCTGGAAACACTGCTGGAACGCATCTTTTNGCCGAGTTCTTCCAGATAATCCTTAACTCTATACCTCTCCCCTGTGCAAGGATTTCCAAAAAACTTTTATTAGGATGCCTTCTCATAGCGTACCCTACTAAATGCTGTTAAAATAAAAAATTGCGCATAAAATAGTACAGTACTGAGTTTTTAAGGATAATCCTTAATTTTCTCTCTTTCCCTGCGAGAAAATTTTAAAAATCTCTTCTTATTGTACATTCCCGCGACATATACTAACTTTGTACCAAATTTCAACTTTCAACTCTTAATCGTTTGGAATCTGCGCTTATTATTATTATGTTGAATTTAGTGTGTTATACTCGGTTGATGTAGCTGTGTACTATGCCAGACCACAGTCAAGGCATAGCAACAAAAGCAAAACTAAAATTAAATAAGTGTGTCAGTATCATTGTCTGTAATCAAGAATTTCCTAACAATATGGCATGTATCCAATATAATGGCCTTCTGTAGTGTGATGTATTTCTATTAAATTGTAATGTTAACAGGCTTTTGCATAGTGTGTGTGGTATCACATCCATAGAAGAGAGAACAATAGGTACAATAAGCACTCTGTCTATATCCATTCTTTACAGATGCCTGTTTCCTGGGCAACTTCTGTGTACTTGCTAATTATTTCAGTGAATGTAACTTATTTTGTTTATTGTGAGTGATTGGAATGAATGTGTTTATAATGCATGTGGTTTTATTGCAACTGTGATGTTTCTTGTCTTTTTGTAAAAAAAACCTCTCGCAGTGACTGTTTGTAGTGAAGGTTAACTATGTCAATCAATGTGATGTCTGTTGTGGTAAATTGTTTTATCTGTAATTTTGGCTCTGTCGTAGTAAATTTCGTGTGTTGCTTTCTAATACTGTCTGTGTAATCAGTCGCTAGCTACATATTCAGTGCCCTGGAGCAGGTCGAACGGATGCATCCCTTGTTCCTCGGAAGAGGTCTTGCAAAATTTATTTTGAACATTTAATTTAAAAACGTATCTAATTATTTCGATTTAAAAACTTACTTAATAACAATTTATTTGAGATTCAAGGCATTTCAACAATAAGATATTTAATTTAATAAATCTTAGGGTTAGGATATGTCATGCCATATTCTAACCCTAATTCTCTGCTCTTTCTAATCGTAATATGGCCACAATGGATTTGGTTAGGCCCATAATGGCTTGTCTGCATATGCTGACCCTCATCCAACATTTGCGTATCATCAGAAAGTTTTGGGTTGCGCGAACGGATTGGAACCCTAGCATCTCCGATCATTTTGATAATACGTTTGCCATCTTACCATTTCTAATACCAGCTAATGTAGTGTTTATGTATGTTAAAAACACCAATTTTATTTCTATTAAACATTATTAAATAACGAATGATTTCTTTATTTTATTTACAGATAATTTACAAATATATACTTTAAAATATTAATTACCTCAATTTTGAATATACTTTACTCAAAGCAATTTGTATAGGAAGATAGAGAAATATTATCTTCTCAAAGTTATGTAAAAATTTTGTGGCTCTTTAAAAACTTTGAAATTTTGTAAATTGTAATTTTGGCTCTTCCGACTCAAAAGGTTTCTGACCCCTGACCTGGGAGAATTAAATTTCGAAAAATCTCTTATTAATGTGCATTTCTTGGCATACCCTACTAAAACGCAGTCAAAAACACAAAAAACAGCATCTAAAATAGTATGTTAAAAGCCGAGTTCTTCCAGATAATCCTTAACTCTATACCTCTCCCCTGTGCAAGGATTTCCAAAAAACTTTTATTAGGATGCCTTCTCATAGCGTACCCTACTAAATGCTGTTAAAATAAAAAATTGCGCATAAAATAGTACAGTACTGAGTTTTTAAGGATAATCCTTAATTTTCTCTCTTTCCCTGCGAGAAAATTTTAAAAATCTCTTCTTATTGTACATTCCCGCGACATATACTAACTTTGTACCAAATTTCAACTTTCAACTCTTAATCGTTTGGAATCTGCGCTTATTATTATTATGTTGAATTTAGTGTGTTATACTCGGTTGACGTAGCTGTGTACTATGCCAGACCACAGTCAAGGCATAGCAACAAAAGCAAAACTAAAATTAAATAAGTGTGTCAGTATCATTGTCTGTAATCAAGAATTTCCTAACAATATGGCATGTATCCAATATAATGGCCTTCTGTAGTGTGATGTATTTCTATTAAATTGTAATGTTAACAGGCTTTTGCATAGTGTGTGTGGTATCACATCCATAGAAGAGAGAACAATAGGTACAATAAGCACTCTGTCTATATCCATTCTTTACAGATGCCTGTTTCCTGGGCAACTTCTGTGTACTTGCTAATTATTTCAGTGAATGTAACTTATTTTGTTTATTGTGAGTGATTGGAATGAATGTGTTTATAATGCATGTGGTTTTATTGCAACTGTGATGTTTCTTGTCTTTTTGTAAAAAAAACCTCTCGCAGTGACTGTTTGTAGTGAAGGTTAACTATGTCAATCAATGTGATGTCTGTTGTGGTAAATTGTTTTATCTGTAATTTTGGCTCTGTCGTAGTAAATTTCGTGTGTTGCTTTCTAATACTGTCTGTGTAATCAGTCGCTAGCTACATATTCAGTGCCCTGGAGCAGGTCGAACGGATGCATCCCTTGTTCCTCGGAAGAGGTCTTGCAAAATTTATTTTGAACATTTAATTTAAAAACGTATCTAATTATTTCGATTTAAAAACTTACTTAATAACAATTTATTTGAGATTCAAGGCATTTCAACAATAAGATATTTAATTTAATAAATCTTAGGGTTAGGATATGTCATGCCATATTCTAACCCTAATTCTCTGCTCTTTCTAATCGTAATATGGCCACAATGGATTTGGTTAGGCCCATAATGGCTTGTCTGCATATGCTGACCCTCATCCAACATTTGCGTATCATCAGAAAGTTTTGGGTTGCGCGAACGGATTGGAACCCTAGCATCTCCGATCATTTTGATAATACGTTTGCCATCTTACCATTTCTAATACCAGCTAATGTAGTGTTTATGTATGTTAAAAACACCAATTTTATTTCTATTAAACATTATTAAATAACGAATGATTTCTTTATTTTATTTACAGATACTTTACAAATATATACTTTAAAATATTAATTACCTCAATTTTGAATATACTTTACTCAAAGCAATTTGTATAGGAAGATAGAGAAATATGACTAAGAATCCAATTATAATACTCCATCCATAATATTTCCACAACACGGCTATCGAAGTAATGATGAAAAAAGGCCACGTAAATAAAAGTGATAAGCAGATAACTTTCTGTAATAAATAGAAATTGTATATAGACTATACCTAGTAACTATTCAATTGATTAAAATTAATATAAATTTTAATAAAATTATTTTTGAATTCATAAAATACCTACCTACATCACGAACCTATTAAGTATGCACGTACTACTTTTGTTTTTACAGTACACGATCTTTATTCTTGCAGTACCAGGAAATTTAAGATTATTGAAAATGTCAAATTACTGGGTTTCTGTATTGTCAAAAAAATTCTTAAGTTATATGTGTTTTCAACGAGGCAAATGGTATATTTCGTATGTTCACGTTTTGTCGCATTTTTCAGTAAATTATCTCCACTGCTTTATCACTGTAAAGATTACAGAGAGCTTGTCCATATAGTTTTTAAAATGATTGAAATCCTTGTGAAACTTAAAATAAATATGTTCTTGTATGCAATTCATACTCACGAACATATCACATTTATATTTCAGGTATAAAGTACAGTAGACCCCCTATAACACGGTAGATACGTTCTGCTTTATAAGAATTTCGCGTTGTAGGAATCTTTAAATACATGAGCCAATCACAGCCCGACACGTGTGAAGTTTACGGACTACAGCTGTTTGAAAGGTTTTATTCCATAAAATTAATCGATTCTACACTAATTTGACTCAATATTTTCAAAACACGTATAATTTTTTGGGAATAATCCGTATAAACTGTGCTATAAACAAAAAATTGTAGGATTACTTACCGAGTGTGCACCGTTCGACGTCGCCATTGCTAAAGCTTGTTTTCAACGCGGAGCAGCGCACCAAACGGCGGCCGCGATTTCTGATAAGTTATTTTTTTGTGAAAAATTCGTTGAACTTTGGAGACATCATTAATAGAAATAATTTTAATGGCCGTTGAATAAGAAATGTTTCTTTCACAAGAAATGTATAAAATTACAGTGCTGCATTACACTTACCGTACCTAATTTATATACTTTACAAACAATAGTAAACTCAACTTACTCGCCTAAACTCTCTGTAGCGTGGCGCTGAACAGCGGAAAGTATATATATAATTATAATAAAGTTAAAATAAATTAAGTTAATATTGTACAGACGATAGTAAACTCAATTTACCAGTCTAAACTCTCTGTAGCGTGTAAGTAGTTCGGCCGTTCGTCTACTATTGATCCAGATTCGACGAATCCTGTCGCGACACGAGTCGGAAACGACGTTCTCCCGCGTTTTACACGTCACTTTTAGCGTCTTTATACGAATACTGTCGCAATTTTTTCGCTGCGTTATAAGAACACACGTTATAGTGGTATACTGTACATACTGTACTGTCCCACACTTTTTATTCTACTCGCAAAAAGTTATTCTTTTACAAATCGATATAATTTCAGAAATGATGTCAGAGAAAAAATTGCCTCATTATAAAGGCAATTTTTTGACAATAAATAACATTTAGATAATAGCTTATGTGTGTAGACAATTATACACAGGGTGTTTTACACACTGTGATAATGCAGCAATAAATGTGTTGGATAAAAATTTTTCATACTTTGATGAATATATTTAGGAATTACATTATGTATATATTTCCTTTAAATTTTGTATAATCTATATCTATATCTATGTCTATATCTATATATATATAAATGGACGTGTGTGTCTCTATATTTCACTTTTCTGCAAAAACTACACATCGCACGTGAATGGTGTTTGTATGTGGTGGTAGCCCCAAGTCTCCATTCGTGCATAAAGGTGGTTGCATCTCGATAGCTATAAGGGTGCGGGAGATATGGGCTTGAAAGTGGTTGGAAGTGGCTATCTATTTCGAATGTTTTGTTCGAATTTGTTCGAACAAAAGAACAAATTCGAACAATATTCGAATTTAATTCGAACATAAAATTCGAATATTAGTACGATTATAGAACGATTGTAAACGTTCCAGGAACGTCGAAAATAGTTCGTTTGACTTGACGTGAACAGGAGACGTTCGGAAATAGAATCAGGACCAGGTCTCTAATTAGTCTAGAAACGGGGGACCTAATTCTTGCATTCTGTGAAAACGGGTAAGATTGGCTATAATGTAATCATCTTAATCTTCACTATCGTTACTTTTTAAAAACCCAGCGAAGCGGGTCCTTGCAGCTAAATTCTAGATTACTTAGAAAAACAGTTTTATATATATAAAAAAAAAAACTATATTACATACAAATGTACGAACAAATAAAAACCCAGTGAAGCGGGTCCTTGTAGCTAGTTCTTAATAAATGTAGTTTTAGCTATATGTTTTTTGTATTATTTCTATTTACTTTTATAATATTTATAAAGAAAACCAGTCTGATTATAATTTTATATATAGGGTAGATCGGGGCAAGATCGGCATGTTAAGCTTTACTTAAATTTTGTGTAATAAATACTGCTGTAAACTGAAAAAAAAACTTTGCATATTGTCTATTGGAATGTTACCTTACTATAGAACTGGTTAAAATCAGTTTGGAAATAAAAATAATTAAAATAATTACAACTTTACAAGAAGAGAGAAATTGACGAAGTTGCCCCGGGTATAGGGGCAAGATCGGCAACTTCTCTCTTTTTGTAAAGTTGTAATTATTTTAATTATTTTTATTAAAGTTGCCCCTGGTATAGGGGCAACAGTAATGGGGCAAGATAGGCACGTATATAAAATTATGTTATTAACAATGTATAAGTTGGAATTCACTATTAAAACAAAGAAATACAAATCCAACACCCATTTAATATTATTACAACGAAATGCAAGTTCAAAGACATATATACATGAATAACAAATGCAAACATGTTTTCATTTATCATCTGTTTGATTTTTATCCTTTGCTTCTAATGTGGCTTTATGTTGCCGATCTTACCCCGCTAGTCATGATTTCGAAACATTAAGTACAACCCTGAGAACAGAATGCCAAGCCACGATCTGGCCACGTGAATAAGTTGAAGTTACATCCTTCTAACAGGAAAAGTAACTTTCGTTATCATGGAATTATAACAAAACCTGCCAATTCAATATAAATGGAAAAAAAATATTATATGGAATTGAACGAAAATGAAAATTTGCTTGATAATTCAACTACGCTTGTTGGAGAACAATAAAAACACTACACTCAACAAGCCACCAATAAAACTCAACTGCCTAACCTATAACCAAAGTCTCCTTTTAATTTGTTTTTTAAAAAAAGCGCTTGACAAACTTGCCCCGCATGCCGAAGTTGCCCCGATCTCCCCTACATTTTGTATATCTCTAAAAATTGGTATTACAGAAAGTCGGGTGTGAAAAAAGTTATTTTCTCAATCTTGTTCGGCCTTAGAACCGAAAGATCTGTCCACAGGGACACTAGGATAAGTTTTTTAGTATTTTCTAAATTTTGGAATCAGAAGTTCTTATGATTGTCCTGTGTAATTTTCCTGACCCCAGCCTAATTTATGCGTAAGGCATGCTAATGATTAAATTTATATAGGTCGATTTCCCACAATTCAAGGCAGTCAATATTATGAACACTTAAGAAGAACCTACAATAATAGACTGCATTCTCTTACAGAAGACTCTGCCATAATAATAGGCAGTCCATGGAAATACGAACAGTCAAAGAGAGAGGCTGCCAGGGAAAAAGCTAGACATAAATGACAGCCAGAAGGAGAATCTCGCATAGAAGAAGCGATCAGGCATGGAAGTTTTGTCTCGCTATACTCCTGCCTTCCACTGTCCCCCATATCAGCAAGACATCTCCACTCATCATTTGGAGTATAACTACTAGTGATGTAACGAATATTCCGTTACTATTCGGTATTCGGCCTATTTTTCGCTATTCGGCCGAATAACGAATACCTAAAAACAGGAGTAAGAAACAACAAAAACACAGTAAATTAATCATTTTTGTATTTAGATTTGATGTTATCGGGTTAGCGTTGTTTGTTTATATTTATTTATAACTTATAACATTCACAAAATAAAAAAGAAAATAATATTAGTCACACGTATTCACAATTTAAAAGTACAAAGATCAGCACACGCACACACTTATTTGTTCGAAAATCGTCGCACATCTGACGGTCTGAGCCTGCCTATTCTTCTTTTTAAGAGCTCGTCTATGCTCCTCTCTTTTTCTTTCCTCGATCGCTCTAGTCCACGTATGCCTATGCATATATCATAATACGTTTTTACGATACCTTCGATTCGTCACTTTTCTGTCGTAGATTTTCCATTTTACAATTAGGTGACTCGTAGCCTGGTAATAACGGAGAAAAGAGACAGATAGGACGTCGATATAAGTCGCAGTTATGATTTCACAGATTCGAGACAGCTCGGTAGCTCGAACGGCCCCAGGCTTTCGCCCGTGCACGCTAAGTGACATTTATTACAAGCATTTAGCTTTCCGAAGTCTACGACGACAATCGTTTGACATTGACGGCCGCGAATTTTGCGCCAATAAGCTGCCTCGACTTGTTCGACTATGTTATCAATTCAATTTCATATTTATTTTCACATTTTCGCGGTCCTTCTCTGTTTTTTTTCTGTTATTTACACGTGTAGGTCATTTCATTGTTATCCACATTTGATATCATTATTTATACTGCCATGACGCTCTTGTCTGTCTGCTACAACAGCCAAGAATTAACGCGATTGGCGAAGCGTAGTGATAGCGGGCCAATAGAGAGCAGGGTCCTTGCCATTATGCGGTTTGCGCGCCAATTTTCGTACATGCGTTAATCAAGCCGAATAGTTTGGCCGAATATACTATTCGTTGGAACACTAATAACTACGAATACGTACGACATCAGAGGTATTATAATTAAAACTATTTGTAAACCTACTTCGCGTTTTAGAGGTGTACGTAGTTAGGCATAGATATAACGATAGGTCATTCTTTTATGTATTCCATTATTTTTATTCATTAAATTTCTGTCAGTTATTTGTTAACCTAACTGTTGTTTAGTTTAATGGATACCCTGTTCGGAACTTACGCGCGACTCTCCCAACTCGAATAACAGCCATCTTA